TCTCCTCTTGATCCGGAGGGGTGGAGACCTACAAAAGATTCTCCGATGCCAAAGTCAGTTTCAGAGCAGTGGCTATTTTCAGTAGTAGCAATAAATGTGCATTCAATGTAACCTATCTACCACTCACCGTGGACCTGTATTTATAGTTTTCGCTATGGGCTTGGGATTAGTGAAAAGTTAATCACGGCCCAAAACGGCCCGATAGCTTCTAATTTCTATTTACCTTTAAGCCAGGCTACTTTTCCTTAAGTCATGTTGATTAGTGTTTTGGCGGGCGTGGGCGTCCGCCCATGTGAAATGGGCGTCTGTCTCGCGCGCACGGAGATCCGCCCATGTGGGATCCGCCCATGTGGGCTCTTTGGTACGGCGTCCGGTTTTGCTGGCCGTGTCCGCGGAGATCCGCCCATGTGGGATCCGCCCATGTGGGCTCTTCCGTACGGCGTCCGGTTTTGCTGGTCGTGTCCGCCCATGTGATATGGGCGTCCGCCTCGTCCGCATGGAGATCCGCCCAATTAGCTTGGGCGTCCGCTCATATGGATCCTTCCGTACGGCGTCCGGCCCTTGCGGATACACATGGTATTGACATGTGGTTAAGAAAACAAAGCATCTCATAAAAACACATTAATCAAACATTCCTAAGAATCATCATCAGTATAACTAAAAATAGTTTACAAGATACTTTTTTATTAATGATATTAAATATTAATGAGATTAAATATTAATGAGATTAAATATTAATGAGATTAAATATTAATGAGATTAAATAGATATCATATTTTCTGGAGACTATCATGATCAATCCAGCCAACTTTAATAAATCTAAATGTGATTAACTCATTCACTTTTAATAGGAAGTTGATACCAATAAGCATTTATTTGTTTTAAGTAATATCACAAACAACTTCAAGCCATTGAAAATTGTTCAAAAGAATTAGTTTATTCCAATATTGCTAAAACTCTCTCTTTTCAAAGTCATGGTCAAAAACTCTTTATTATATACATATTCTTCTTTTAATTTACCAGTGCCTTTTAATAACATGAGATTCTAAAAGCAAACAATTCTTCAAATGCATAATTGACTCTAAGAATGATATTTTAACATAAGATTTGAAGTGAAAAAAATAATGTTAAAAAACAAACACTCCTACCTTTTATTCTCGACTAAAAAGTTTATTCTGATACATCCACTCCAGATTGTGCTATCTTAACATACTTAGAGTTAAAACATACTTTAAAAAACCAAAAATCAAACAATTCAGAAGCCTTTTCTCGTCTGCATCGGGTCTGTTCTTCTCATTAAAAGAAAAAGAAAAACATAAACACGCTAAATACCTTCGCCGTTAATATAGCTCCAGATTATTACACTTAGACAGGGTTAGAGTTATATGAATAATGTCAGAATTTAGCATAGTTACACTTTAACCGGACATCACAAAACAAGTATAGCAACAGAAGATATCATTCTATTACCATTAAATAAACTGGAAGTGATATTGCTACTTTTATGTATGTTTGATTATCATTTTCATTAAACCAAGCATCTCCTCTTTCTTGGGCTGTGTTACTTGCAACTCCAAAGTGACCTGTAAAGTAGGAACGAGCTATTATTAAACATTCTACGGAAGGAAGGAAAAAGACAAAGTGGAACATAAATGTGAAACATTATAGTATACAAAGTTTATCAAAAGTCAACCATGATTAAGGCACTAGATACCAAGATAAATAGGCCATAACGGTAGGAAAGGAGTGTTCGAGCATTGGAGATAATAGCATCCGAGAAGGTACGATTATCAAACAGGTATAAGGTCAATTTCTTTGAAAGAACATAAAAGGAATAACTTTCTAATATACAGCTCTGGACATACATAAGCTAAAGGTTTTCATTATTTATCAGAACAGTTATGATGTTCTGAAAAAATGGTTAAAATATATGAAGTACAATATATATGATATATTTCACTAAAAAACGATTTTAAGATATAATTTATGTTTTGAATAATTAAAGACACGAAATTTATCCTGTTAAATTCACCTGCATAAAAACTGTGGAATTCAACAAAAGTTCAAACAAAAATCACCATAAATACAATGAATTCACGTGAAAACTAGTTTCCACCAATTACTGGAAAATCTAATAGCACATTTTTCAATTCTTTTGCTGTTTGTGGGACTCAGATTACACCATAGTTATGATCTATTTTATTTGAAACCTATGGCAATTTCTCTGTGAGTGAATTTAGTAGAACAAGTTTGACGTTTTAAATCAGAGAAAAATTGGTTCAAAAGTGCACAGAAATATGCAAATATCCAATATCGATTTAGATTATTTGTACATGAACGCACACACATTTCTATGCGTGCAATGTGTTAATTATCACTTTGGGAATGGTTTTGTTCTTCTAAACAAAACTTGTTAGGGCTTCAACCTCTGCAGTGTGTTGTTGTAGTCGTTCTTTTAATCCTGGCTTTCTATTTGTATAATAAACTCAAAACATGGTAATCACTATAAGTCTATAATAGTTGAGAATAGGACTGATTTAAAGGACTCCGGAGGTCAATTTACAATAATCAATTAGCTTGAACCTCCTACCAAATAAGCACAAATCATATGGATTTTAACCCGAATTTATTTGAGAAAAGAAAAGTTAAATTCCTTAGCTAAATTTAAATAATAACTTGCACTTTCAATCATGTGAGAACAAAGCATATGTTTTTGCCTGAGTCAAGCAATCCATTGAAATTTAAAGGCTCTCACCTCCTTGAAGATGTTGCTATATGAAGTTTGCACAAACCCCTACACAAAATCCATGAACTGAGTCAAACCTACAAAACTTAATAACCTTGGAAGAGAGAGAGAAAGAGAGAGACACTTAACACGGGAGTGCATGAAATCAATCTATAGAATGATCATGTCTCTAAAATTAAAGAATATGTTGAGCAAACGTAAAATTTTGTTGTTCAAAAGCATCATTATCTCGTAACCACTCAAAAATAAGTTATATGTTCGGCTGTAAGACACATAAAAGGAAAGATAAAAAGAAAAAGCAGCGTACAAACCAATTTTTTGAACATGTCAAGGGATGCTCCATTTGAGTCTGCAATTTTAGTCAGAAACATATTAATTCCTAACTTCTCGATAGCAAAGGTCATCATCATCAGAACAGACTCCTTCCCAAGTCCCTTCCTACGGCTATGCCAGCAAGTGAAAGTTGATAGAGGTTAGAATGAAGAGATTTAATACTGAGGACTTGTTTGGACGAACTTTTCTATGAATACATTTTGGAGAGAGAAAAAGGAGGAAAAATATAATGAATTTCTACATAAGCTTAAAGTTAACTTGTGCACAAGTTAAGAAATAAAAATTTAGAGAACACATGGAGAAACTCGTTTCATTTTTTTCTTTTACCTTTTTCTCCCAGAAGTGTGTATAGAAAAAACTCATCCAGACATGCCAAAGCTTCAAAAGATTAAATCAGCCCAAAACCTTAGGCTGCTAGATGAAGACAGAGGAAAGGTTTTTATCTCTTGCACTTGCATAACAAGGTAAGTTGGAGCATAGATCCCAGTGTAGGGAAGTAAAAACAATATAAACTTCAAAAAGTACGTTCGTGGTCTGACATTATATATTCTGCTCATAACATGGAAAATGATTGAATAGAGTTATCATTCAAAATAGCAACAGAACACCTAAATTCACCAGTAAAAAAAGATGGGCATAAGCCACAAACAGTTAATTAATTCAGAACAAATTCAACTTTTCTTCACGTGCTTGAGATGAAAATTTACAAAAAGATCCGGTTCACATGAACAAAGAGATAAAAGTTTAGAAAGGTTATATTCAAGTAACTTTCCTTTGTACTTTCCTATTCTTGCCACTTTGGATTTTTGTGCAGAAACCTATTAAGCCATTGAACAGGGATTATACATAGTGCAAGTGTGCTACTACTAAACAATCTCAACTGGCTCTGCATCTGATCTTAATTTCAGTCTCTCCCCAGCACATGTACATTTGCACCCCCATCCACACCAAAATTTTCTCTTTTGTCAAACAAAGAAAGAAAATCCAGTTGTTATAAGATAAACAATGTGTTTTGAAACACGGGCAGCAATGAGCACAAAGAAGCAGCAGGTAAACCAATTATGATAACGTAACGGCTAATATACAGCAACAAAGAAAAAGACGAAGCTATAGAGGGGCATTAGTTAGTGTGTTGTTTTGTAAGCTATAGCTCCCTTTTCACGTTTTTTCCCTCCATGTTGCAATTAGAATGAGGCAATACACAATTTATATATATCAGAATCGTATACGCAAGTAATTGGGAAACTAGTTGATGAAACGGAAGTTAAATTGGGATACCTCTTTGGTTCTGCAATCATTATTTCAACCTCTGCCACGTGAGGATCATCCAAATCATTCATGAACAGATTTACATCACCAACCATGGCTGCAGTTAAAATTTGGTTATATTTAAAAAAAAAAAAAGTGATCGGAGTAAATAGAAACAGAAAAGGGCAGCGACCTTCGAGGTGGGGTTCCCCGTGCGAGAATTGTCCAACAACCAAGTCCTTGTCCAGTACAATGAAGGTCTCCTCTGCAAGAATTGAGGTGAGGAGCAGTGAAAAAGGATGAAGAGACAGTGATAGAGTTAGGGTTAGAGTTAGAACAAGACAGAGAGAGAGGTGAACTGGAAGGGTCTTGGAACCATGAGAGCTGCATTTGGTACTCCTGCTGAAGGGTAAGAGGATCGGAGGCAGTGGCCTGAAGGAGAGAAGGGTCCTTCATCCATTGGTGATATTTGGGGACATGGGCTTCCATGTAAGGGACCAATATCACCTTCTCTCCCTCTAAGCTCACACTCCCTTTCCCTGTCTCACTCTCTTCCATCGCATCCATTCTCAACCTCCAACGCAAATCACTCACAAGTTATGTTACGCCACCTTCTTCTCTGTCCACCACGTGTTTGTTTAAATGTTTCGTGTATTCGACCCATCACGGGACCCGCTTACCACTCTCAAATCCAACAAATCAAAACTGAGATACATCAAGTAAAAATAAAAGCCTTTATTTTAATTCATCAATTTCGCATAAATATTTTCTGGTCTTTTAAAAAATTGTAGAAATTAGTGTTTCAAAACGTATGATTATTTTCTTATATAATTTCAGTTCCTATATTTTGCTGAATTTGTAATTTTGGCCCACAATTTACTCCAATTCACAATGCATATACCTAGCCAAAATCACCAATAGGCCAACACATTCAACAAGAATACTCCCAAAAAGAAATTAAAACTGAATTTTTTTTCCTCTCCAATTGGACCGTTTCACTCTTGAAAGAATGAATTCAGCTTCCATTTGAATGAAATTGGTTTTTGCACCAAACTAGGCATATTTGCCTATAATATTACCAAAATGGGCAAATTCAACCAAATTTACGAAAATGGGGAAGTCGTGAGGGGCCCAAACGACTTCANGAAAATGGACGAGCGTCCACTTCTCCTGCCGAGCGTCCACTTAGCTAGATGGACGAACGTCCTCTTAGCTTTCTGGACGAGCGTTCTCTCTGCCTGTCTGGACGAGCGTCGTCGAGATGCGCTCAGTGGACGCTCGGCAGGAGAAGTGGACGCTCGTCCATTTTCAGTGAACGCTCGTCCATTTTCAGTCTTGCAGGGGTCAGGATTTCAACATTGTGTAATCGATTACCAAAAAATGGTAATTGATTACAGGACCCAGAAGTCGTTTTTGGGGTGCACGACTTCAACACTGTTGCTATGAACAGTGTGAAGTCGTGCAGGGGGGTCACGACTTCTTCATTTGAAGTTGTTTGGACCCCCCACGACTTCACTTTTAGTCAATTTTTGCCTACTTTGGTAATAAATACCACATTTTTGCCTACTTTGGTAACAAAGCCAATGAAATTAGATGTTAATTTTTTAAATTGATTATTTGAAAATATTTTAATTATGGTAATAGAAAAATTAAGAAAATAATATATTGTAAGTATGATTGGTTTTTGTAAAATTAAATTTAATAAATGTGATAATATTATATTGGGTTTGCACATTGCAGCCCAGCCCATATTTTCCTTCGATTTTTCCCCTTTTATTTCTCTCTTTTGGTTGACTCTGTATACACATTATTACACTTTTCAATATATCACAATTTCTGGATTCTTCTCTGAGACGCACTTTTCTTTTCTTACTCTTTTCTCTGTTACCTTTTCACTGTGCTTTGGGTTCTTTTGCTGCTTCTTCTCCTTAGGGGTTCTTTCGCTGCATCTTCTTCTCAAGGGTTCATTTGCTACTTCTTCTCTTCAAGGTTTCATTTGCTACTTCTTCTCTTCAAGGTATGATCTTCACGCTTCTTCCCCCATGATTTGTATTACTAATCTGTTGAATATTCTTTGCACCATAGATTTTGTTCATTATCTTGATATGGTATCAAAGCTCTTCTTTTGAAGAGCTATGCTCCTTAACTTTGCTTCCTCTTCTCCCTTTCTTGTTTTTCCTTTCTTTTCTTGTTCTTGCTTCAGTCATGGCTGAAGACAACTTCGTACACAATTATCTGTACCTTTACCCAACGAGAATCCAATTGCTACCCTTGTTTCACCAGTTCTCGACGACACAAATTATTACTCTTGGAGCCGCTCCATGTTAACTGCTCTCAACTCCAAAAACAAGATCAAATTCGTTCTTGGCAATGTTCGTCCACGTGAAAAGGACAAGCCAGAGCATGCCGCTTGGAATCGTGGAAACAACATGGTTGTCTCATGGATCGTCCATTCTATTTCCATGTCCATCAGACAAAGCATCATATGGATGAATAAAGCCTCGAAGATCTTGAACGACCTAAAGAACAAATTTTCTCAAGGAAGTCTCTCTCGCATTTCTAGCCTTCTACTTGACATTGCTATTCTTCATCAAGGTGACCTTACCATTTTGGAGTATTTCACCAAACTGCGTATTCTCTGGGATGAGATAGAAAACTTCTGCTCATAACCTCTTTGTACCCGTAAACCTGATTGTGGTTATGAAGTTCTGACTGTTGTCAAACAAAGAAGGCAAGAAGACCAAGTCATGCAATTTTTACGGGGATTAAACGATCAATTTACTAACATTACATCGCATGTGATTCTACTGGACCCTATTCCGAACATCACCAAAGTTTTTTCACTGGTGGCACAACAAGAAAGGCAACTGTCTAATGGAAATCTGATTGCTACAGCTAAGACTCAAGACACAGGTACTGCCACCGCCTACACCGCTTCCACTTCCTCCACTTTTTGTAATTATTGTGGCAAGAATGGGCATAGTGAAGCTGTCTGCTACCGCAAGAATGGCTTCCCCAATCAAGACAAAGGTTTCAAAAGTGCGCCGACTGGCAGAAAACATTGCACTCATTGCAACAAAAGCGGTCATACAGTGCATGTTTGCTATAAAAAGCATGGTTATCCTCCAGGACATAAGTTTTATAATAAGCATACCCGAATTCATCATACCTCTGTCCAAGAGGACAATGGGAATGTCAAAGCTACCAATTCCAATAACACTGATCACATCCGCCTCACACCACAACAATTTCAAGTTCTTGTAGAGCTCTTCAAAGACCACAATCTGAATGATGCAAATTCACCATATTAGATCTGCTTCGGCAAACCAACATCCTTCAGGTAATATATGCCCTACTCTTACTTCTAATTACCCTAAGACCAATTAGATTCTTGATTTTGGAGCCACTAACCATATAAGTATTTCTCTACGGAACTTTTCATCCTATAAAAGAATCAAACCTATTCAATTGCTTTACCTAATGGCAGTGTTGTTTACTCTGAGTATTCTGGCACTATTATTCTTAACATTAAGATCCATCTTTTAAATGTCCTTTATGTTCCACAATTCTCTTTTAATCTTATCTCCATATCTCAGTTGATTTCTTTTAATAAATATGAACTAAATTTTTCTTTTCATGACTGCACTATATAGGACATTCAAATCAAAGAGAATATTTCTATACCTAAACTCACTGGTGGCTTGTACATCTTAAATTCATCTTTACTTACTTCTCCTGCAAATTTTGCCAACAATGTTAGATTAGGACAATACTAGCCTATGACATCTTAGATTAGGACATCCTTCCAATATTAGATTGAATAGTTTGAAACTCAAATACCCATTCATTGTGCATAATCCCACATACATATGTGATGCTTGTCATCATGCTAAACAAAGAAAACTGCATTTCTCTAGTAGTACTTCTAAAATCATGAAAATCTTTGATCTTATTCACGTTGATATATGGGGTCCTTGTAGTATTCTTTCCATGCGTGGTTTTAAATATTTTCTCACCATTGTGGATCATTTTTCTCGCTATACTTGGCTTATACCTATGACTAACAAATCTACTGTTAGAGAAATTATTACTGATTTTATAACAAACATAGAAAACTAGTTTTCTACCACTATTAAAACCATTCACACTGACAATGACATTGAATTTGCTATGCATAATTTTTTCTCTATTAAAGGTATTAACCATCAAACCACCTACAATGAAATCCCTCAACAAAATGGCATAGTTGAGCGTAAACACCAAGATTTGTTAAATGTTAATCGCTCCTTCTTGTTTTAAGCTAATTTGCCTACTATTTTTTGGTGCTTTGCTGCTAAACATGCTACTTTACTAATCAATTGCATGCCTACACCTCTACTTGATGATGCTACTCCATATGAAAAATTATATGGGAAATTGTATGATATTTCTGCATTGCGTGTTTTTGGCCTTTTATGCTATATTAGCACTTTAACTGCTCACAGGAAAAAAATTGATGCATAGGTTGTTCCTGGCATTTTTCTTGGTTTCCAACAGCACGCCAAAGGTTATCAATTCCTAAACTTACAAAATCATAAGATTGACATATCTCGTCATGTGCTATTTCATGAAAATTCTTTTCCTTACACTTCTTGTTCACACAATAACTCTGATTCTAATTCTTTTTCTTTGCCTACTCCTCACAATTATAGTCATAATTATGATGATATTAATTTTCCTAGTAATAGTGTTTTTGTGCCTACTGCCACTAATATTGATATTGTTGTTGCTAGTGATATTGTTACCTGCATAGATGACACCACAAGCATCCCAGACACTATTGAACCTCCCCTAACTAATGCCTCTCATAATGATGTCCCCAATATAACTGAGCATGCTGACATTATAAGGCGTTCTACTCGGCCCAAACGTCCTCCTACATATCTTACAGATTTCCAAACTAATAATATTACTAGATATCTTATTATTAATTTTCTTTCTTATGACATGTTTTCCTCTGATTTCAGGCACACCACCCTCTCGATTTCATCTACCACTGAACCTCACACATACAAGGAAGCATCTAATATACCTTAGTGGACTCAAGCTATGCAGGATGAACTTCACGCCTTAGCACACAACAACACATGGACCGTCACTGACCTTCCCCGGGCAAAACTGCTATTGGATGTCGTTGGATATACAAAATCAAACACAAGTCCGATGGATCTATTGACCGTTTTAAAGCCCGCCATGTAGCTAAGGGCTCAACCCAACTTGAAGGGTTAGACTACTTGGAGACTTTTGCCTTTGTTGCAAAGTTAACTACTTTTCGTCTTCTCCTTCTCATTGCTTCCTCTAACCACTAGATACTCAAACAACTTGATGTCAACAACGCTTTTCTTCATGGTGACTTACATGAAGAAGTTTATATGCAACTTCCTCCTGGCCTTAACCATCACAACCCAAATCAAGTGTGCAAACTTCAAAGATCTTTATATGGGCTCAAGCAAGCTGGACGACAATGGTATGATAAACTTTCTACTTTTCTTTTATCTAATAATTATACTCGCTCTAATGCTGATCATTCCTTTTTCCTGAAACATGATACTTGCTACACCACTGCCATCTTAATCTATGTTGATGATATTGTTCTTGCGAGCAACAACACCACTAAGATACAACATATCACTACCTCCCTTAATAGCCTTTTCAAAATAAAAAACTTGGGTGATCTCACCTATTTTCTTGGCTTGGAAGTTAATCAGAACAACTCTGGAATCCACCTCAGTCAACGTAAATACACTCATGACCTCCTCAAAGATGCTGAATGCTCCATTGTGCCCCTATGCCTACTCCTATGGCACATTCTTCTCGTCTTACTAGTCAAGGTGACCTTCTCAACGATGAAGATGCCTCCTCCTACCAAAGACTCATTGGTCGCTTCATATATCCCACAAATACCAGACCCGACATCACATTCTCTATTAATAATCTCAGCCAATTTGTCTCATCTCCTACCACCCTTCATCAGCAAGCTGCTCACCGCATTCTCAGATATCTCAAGGGCAGTCCTGGCAATGGAATCCTCCTCCAAAGCAACAACACCAATAAGCTCAAAGGCTATAGTGATTCTGATTACTCCATTACTTCGACAACTCCATCATTTCTTGGAAGTCCAAAAAACAACAGACCGTTTCCAGAAGCTCTTTAGAAGTTGAATATCGGGCTCTAGCCACTATCACCTGTTAACTACAATGGTTGAACTACGTTCTTCATGACCTTCGTATTCCCGCCATTCAACCGACTATAGTATATTGCGACAATCGCTCCGCTATTCAGATTGCCTCCAATCAAGTCTTCCATGAACGCACCAAACACATTAAAATAGACTGCCATGTTGTCAAGGACAAGCTCAACAAAGGCCTCCTCAAGCTGCTTCCTATTTCAACCACTGAACAAGCAGCAAACCTCTTCACTAAACCTTTTGCTCCTGTTGTTTTTAAGTATCTTTATTCCAAGTTGCAAAGACTAACATATACTCCCAACTTGAGGGGGGATGATAATATTATATTAGGCCTGCACATTGCAGCCCAGCCCATATTTTCCTTCCCCATTTCCCCCCCTTTTTATTTCTTTCTTTTGGTTGACTTTGTACACACATTATTACACTTTTCAATACATTACAATTTCTGGATTCTTCTTTGAGACACATCTTTCTTTTCTTACTTTTCTCTTTGTTACCTTTTCATTGTGCTTTGGGTTATTTCGCTGCTTCTTCTCCTTAGGGATTATTTTGCTGCATCTTCACCTCATGGGTTTATTTGCTGCTTCTTCTCTTCAAGGTATGATCTTTACGCTTCTTCCCCCATGATTTGTATTACTAATTTGTTGAATGTTCTTTGCACCATAGATTTTGTTCATTATCTTGATAAAATGTATACTTATTTAGTTAAAATAATCTTTAATAAAAATTTTGGTTTAATAAAAATTAAATTAAATAGTGAAATGATTGGAAGTGAAATGATTTTATACAGTTCTATTTGTTTTAATAGTTAGTTGTAGGTGTTTAGTAGAATAAGAATAAATAATAAGATAATGGTAGCTTAAGTGTGCTTGATTGGTCATTAGTGAAATTGCATTGTTTTCATGAGATTTCTGAGCTGGAAGTGTGTATTTGTTGCTCTGACTTGGCTAATATTGAATATGTTTTGTGCTTGTGATTGAGTATATCTTAGTTGCCTAATTGGTGTCTAATCTTTGCTTAGTTGATGAAACTGTATGGTGCAGAATTGGTTGAATATTAGCATTGCGTTTTCTTAATTCACTTTTTATAAAAACACCAGTTAGTCTTCGCTTAGTTGGTTAACTTGTGTTGGATTGGAGGTTAGAGTAGTGTGTAATTGTTATTAATCTGTGATTGGAAGCATTGTAATTGAGTTAGTGTTCAGCCGTTTTCAAATAGTAGTTTAATTCGTGTTTTATTTTAGTGCATTTCATGTCACAAAAATGTCCACAAACCCCCACCAAGTGTTTGATGTAATGACTGAACCAATATTTGGTCCTTGAGAGACGACCTAGGAGTCACTTCTTAATCTATACTGTACTTTATTTCATATTAATTTGATTCGGGTATAGCTTGGATCAATGTGTTTGGATGAATAATCTTGGTAAATGATTAGTTAACACCTATGACTGAGATGTGTATAAGAATTGTGTTTAAACCTGATGATTGATTGTGTAAAACATATTATTGAGATTATGTATTAATTGTGATATGGGTACGAAACTATGTTATTTCCTTGTACTGTCGTCAGTCATGGATGAACTTTTTATACTACGCTATTAAGGATGTGCTGGAGTCTCGTGTAGAGACAAAGATTCGAGTGTCACTTCCTTTTGCGCGAGGAGGTAAATTTCTTGCCCAAAAGGTTTTGGCTCGTGTTGAGTATAGTGCACTGGTGCATGTAGTGTCAGTGTTTTTACTCGTTAGTCCTTGAGAAGTTGGGAAGATAGGTTGAAACTTGCGATGAAAGACGACCCAAATCACCCTGTTAGTGAGAACAAGTTATGACAACACAATAGAAGGAAATGACATTGGGTCATGAATGAATTGGTTGTGATGTTGATGTTGTGATGGAAAATATTGTAGGGTTATATCCTTTGATTTAATATGAATATGATATGTTGTGTGTTATGATATTTCTAGTTGCTCACCCTTGCATATTGTGGTTGTGGTTTCCACCTATGATGATTGTATTTGTACTGTGATAGATGGTGTTGTAGATAAGATCGGATCGAAATAGTTTACGAGAGTTGGGATCTTTTATTTCAGGGTTAATTATTTATTCTTTATTCAATAGCTTTCAGACTCGGTATTCTTATTGTAAAAATGATAAGTTGAGATTTTCGTTTTGAACAGGTGATGTTTAAAGTTATGATTTGCTTCCGCATTTTTAATAAAATTTGATGATCTTAAATGAATGTTTTAGGAAAATATTATATTTCTAAAAGAGAAAATTTACACCGTAACATCTTAAAAATTGAACTGTTATGAGAAGGGTAAAACAAGTTTAAAACACTATTTCCAAATATTAGAGTCCTTTTTACTGGGACCCCATAAAACACTATTTCCGGTACCAAATATTCTTATCAAAATTTGAAGCGTAACCCTTCAAACAGATGGCAAGATATGAATGGTCATGTTCCTAAGGTTGAATAACGAGCGAAGCATATGCAAAAGGTTGCCCAACAAAGTTTGGATATCTTATAAATAAAATAGTCTGAGTTTTCAAAATGTCCTCTCTAATTAAATACAATGTGGGGTCCATGGACTTTAGGTCTTTATGTGATTTAATATATGATATTAAAAGAAATTAATAACTATTAAAAAATATAACAAAACTACTGAGATTTAGTATTGGAGCGTTGTTGAGTCACGCCGCTTAATACATTTGAGTTGGGTTTATACACAATTTGACTTACATTTTAATCATTTTGAATCATCATAATTTGTTTTTGCCTGTTTAAATTTTAAAATTTATTTATTTCAAGTTCTTTTGAATTTTATCATTGATAAACCGCTTACTTTGACTTGTTGAGTTAAAAGTTATTATGAGTTATCTACATATATTTAATAAACTAAATTATTTTTCTTAATTCCGGAACAACGTAATAACGCATGCATAATATATATATATATATTAAAAACATATTGAAAATATATTTCAAATTTTAATTAATTAATTAATGTATCTGATAAGATAAATTAAATAATTATTATCTTTACACATCTATATTTATTAAAAATTAATAAAAGAAGATATATATAATGGTAACTGTTGAATAAAAATATTATGTGTTAATTATTATATACGTTTTTCATGACATTCACGAATGAACGGTTGATTTGACTTTTATATTTTAATCAATACTATAATATATATATATATATATATATATATATATATATATATATATATATTATTATTTGTTATCTAGTGTGGTGGGTGATAGTTGGGTAAAAGATGACCAATACATTGTTGTTTGTCCTATATTTGTTAAGTAGTCTTTTTGGTCATAATGTTGACGGAATTCAAACTATACTAAATAATGAAGACTTGGGATTGAGGAAACAATTTAGACTTATTAATAAGTCTTCTATCAAGAGTATTAATGTATTTCACAACCTTTTTATATATTTCATTATATGCTTCCATTAATTGGAGTTGATATTGATTTTGTTTTATATGTTTTATTTTGGATTTGATAGACTGAGTTTGGAGATACTATTGATTGCATTGATATTTACAAACAACCAGCATTTGAACATCATTTACTAGAAGATCATAAGTTGCAGGTAGGTATATATAATAATGTAAACTTTTAATTATAAAAAATTTGACTTTTCATTTCTTTTTCATTATTTGAGGTTACTTTCAACTTTTATCATACAATCTTTTCCATGCTCTTGATATCTATTTTTTTATTTCTTTAATTATAGATGAAACCCAACTTTCAAAACATGATTGAAAAGTTAAACGGAAATAATTCAAGAATGACAATCGTATTGGGGTTGGATAAGGATGAATGTCCGACGGGAACTGTACCTATACTAAGAATGACAAAAGAGAATCTTATTCGAGAAAAATCATTGTTAAATGATCATATATTGGTGCAAGACATTCCTGGTGTTCATGTAAGATATGTTGTTATAAATCTAAAGTTTAACATGTTGCTCCTCTATTTATATTAATTGTATTCCATCTATATTTTTTAATTTGAATATATTGAATTCTTTTTAGGTTGCAGAAGTTTCCATGTTACCACAATTTGGTCCTTATTATGGAGTCAGGGGAGTAAATAGTATTTATAATCCACGTGTTCATACCAAGTCACAAATCTCTATGTCTCATTTATGGGTTCAAAATGGACCGATAGAATCTACAAACAAAATTTCAACAGGATGGCATGTAAGTTATATTTTTCAAAATTAGTTTATTTTTCACACAAATATAAATATAAGTGATTTAATTTGATAAGTAAAAAACATTCTAATTAATCTTATGCATTACTATTAGGTGGCTCCACAACTATATGGTGATTATTCAACCCATTTTTATACTTCATGGACGGTAAGGGATATTATTACATTGTTTTATGATTACATTATTTATGGAAATGAAATATCGGATACACTACCCCATCAAGTATTTGATATGAGATATGAGCATAGGATATATTCTTCTCTTTTTGATTTATTGTGTGTTGAAAGTCACACATCGACTAGTGATGAAATTAGTTTATAAGATATAACTGGGTGCAAACCTCTCCTTACAAATCGATTCTAAAATGTTGATTTAGGCTTAAAGTTCATTTTTTAAGATTGTACTAGGGTCATAGATTATAGTTTATCTTAACAAAATTTATTATGTGTTGGGTTTATTATTTCATCAGTTATTGGACCTCTATTTGATCATCCATTAGTATCTAGTCTCATGTATGAGATGTATATATCTTGACGTGAGTGATATATTGGAAGCCTCACACTAGTTATAAAATCAAACTTTATAACTAATGACTACTAATGAGGTCTCTTTATACTATACAAAAAAGTGCAAACTTTACCTTTCAGTTTAAAGTCCACTTTTTGTAAATAAACCTAATTTTTACATGAATGTAAAAAAAATTAAAAAATAAAATAAAATCCTTTTA